ATGCAGCTTGCCAGAGTATTGCCTAGCATGCATGAAGTCCTGGGTTCAATTCTCAGCATCAAGAGAACTGCCCAGGTGAGCCTATTTAACCCCTGGAATCATGAGAGAACCAAATGGCTATTGTTTTAAATTACTGATCTTTGGGGTGGCTCGTTTTGCTGCAATGGATAGCTAGTCAGCAGGAATGCTACAATAATGTAAGAGATTACATATAAGTAAGGGTTGGAAACTGTTACTTTCAACTACTCGATTTCCTAAATTGAAAGCTAAAGCCAGTATCTTAAGGGGACTAGGATTTAATAAAACCATCTCTGCTAAAGTTTGTTGCATAAAGTCTTTTAGGCTCAGGTTTACTTTCAGAAAGAGTGAAAGGAATTAACAATTTTATTCTTAAAATGAGAATACAAAGTAGCTGACTTCACACAAATTTTATAGACAAAGTGAGAGAGCTCCCTGCCAGGCCAGGATCTGGAAACATGGGTCTCCTGACTGCTGCCTCATGTGCTCCATGCCTGTCGAGGTTCTACCTGCTCACCCTTCAGGGAGGTCCCAGGAGATGACAAACCTCTGACACATGGTGCTTGAAAGCCACGGAACACTTCCACCTGAGGACTCCACTGTGTGCCTCGTTGGACCCTTCAGCAAGCTGAGAATACAGCTCCTCCATCATGAAAAAAGAAAAATCACAAACTCTGTACGATTAGGAGAACAGCAACAAAGCTAGAACTTTTATCTAATTATCAGTGTGTCCTCTTCTAGGATGTTAAATGTCTCCCAAAGTTTCAGAATTTGTCTAGCAAGTATTTATCATTTTGAAAACTAGAGGTCTTAGAAAATAATAAAAGATGATGACAAGTCAATTTAGCCTGGGTAAGTGTTATCTTGGCTAATGAAAGTCCATTTCTGGGAAAATGAGACCTAGGCTCCTTATAAACATCAATCGTTCCAGATAATGGTTATAATAGAGCTATTTATGTTTTTTACTTTCACGCCTGTGCTTATACTTCACATTTGGCAGTTCTAAATGACTTAATCCATCTGTAAACTTTTAAATGGAGAAATCGAAGTACAGAGAAACACATTGTCTTAGATCAAAACACATACTTTTAAAAATCAAATACTCCTTCCTTGTGTTAAGAATAAATCCCAAGTGCCTGATCAATCACTTTATTTCCAGCTGTTAGTGGGCAAAGTAGAGAACTTCCTCAGCCACCCAGGAAGAAAAATGTAGGGAGCCCTTATCCACTGGCTGCCCAATCTTACAAAGATCCATGGAAACTCAGTGGACACAGCTTGAAGAGTATTTTCCAAAGCACAGATGTTTTTCTCTGAACTGTGAACGCTGGCTGACTTTCCATTTTCTTTCTCAGTGTTCAGCCGACAGTGCATTTTTGGAGTGGCTGCCCCCTACATCCTGGGGACAACATTCATTGCTAGGTGGAAAATACATCTTTAGAGAGAAATGAATCAGTATTGCATGGAAATGTCTCCATTTCGGGAACTTCCAGAGATGAAATGTCTGTGGCTCTGGGTCACAGAGCAGTGTGCATTCGGATACCTGAGTGAGAGACACAAGGGATTTTCAGTACAGCACTTTACAATGATGGTGATACGTGATTGAAAACATTCATGGATTTTCTCCTTTTACCATTGTGGAAACAAAAAGTTGACTCATTTTTCTGGTTAGTGCTTTGGTATTTTCATTAGGAGATTTCTACAATCCTTATCTGAATTATAGGAAATAAAATTATTTCAAAACTAGAATGAAGCTTCATGCCCAAGAATGCAAATACACTCAGCTAGTTTAGATTCTGCAAGTGTGGGAATGAAAGGTGGGCACAAAATTTAAATATTATAATTCTTATTAACATGCTAATTTCATTAGAATATTCTAATTTTCTAATGGGATTTAATTTATATTACAAATATTTTCAGTGTATGGATAAACATATTCTTCTTTCATTTATTGTCAAAGTTGGTGTGCTAAATTATAATCTGGCTCATAATCTCTCAATTATGTCAAGGACAAATTAAACTTCTTGGCAAAAAAAATCCAACCACCTTGATATGTACAGACTACAAAAAATACTACTGGAAGTTTTGGGTGGACAGGAACCCATCAAAAAGTTTAAGCTTTGTGGGGGTTTTTTTTTTGGTACCGGAGATCAAACTCAGGACCTTGTGCTTGAGACGCAGGCACCAGAACCACTGAGCTAAATCCCCGCCCTGTGGGGGTTTTTTTGACATGTATTTATATAGCAGGAGAAAAAGAGCTTTCCAGATAAGTGTGCGTGAGATTACATAAGATAAAAAAAAGTGGTATTTCTGAATCATTAAAGTTTCTAACACGTTTTTCTTTTAAACTAACTTTGAATTGTGTTTGAAAGGTCTAATAATCAGAAAAATACAAGGCTTTCTTGTTCAGAGGTTTTCAGCCTTCAACCTGAAAGACAACGCGAAGCTTTGAACTGTTCCATGCCCACTCTGCAGGACACCTGGGGAGGTCTCCGTGCACACACAGGGCCTGCGGCTCCACCGAGGCTGTTGCCGGGAAGGGGACACCACAACGCCTGAATGGAGGTTCAGATTATTCTTAACGCTGAGCACCTTGAACTTATAATTCTTAGGGGACAGAAATCTGAGTCCCAAGATGTCTTCAAATTAGAAGCCATATTGAAAAAACTCTCGTTTAAAACCAGACTCACAGTGGTTCTGCCGCCTGCCTCGCAAGCGCAAGGTCCCAAGTTCAATCCCTGGTACCAAAAAAATAAAATAAAACCAGACTCAGATCTTTACAGAATAGGTCAGATCTGTAGTAATTTAAATTCTGTCTATAATTTTATTATTCTAAAAACCATTTTAGAAGCATAATGCTCACTATTCTGAGCCAAGGATGTTACTAGAATTACCTTTGACCACACTGTATTTGAATAAGGTTTTATGATATTCTGTTTGTGATACTTAATAGCTGTGTGACTTTAAGCAAATTTTAAAATTTCTCTTATTTCAGTTTCATAATCTATAAAATAATGAAGGTTATGGCAGGGATTAAATGTATTAATGTACCTGACACGTAATAACCAGTTTGTAAATATTCATTGTCAACATTATCATCCACTTATTAACTCGTAATTTTTACAGAAAAGCCATCAGCACAAAATTAATAAAATCATTGTAACACAATTCTTGCATTCTCAAAATTTAAAGATATTTTTAAAAAATAGGTTCCTAAAACCCCAATTACTATTAACTTGGCTCAGAATTAACTACTCTAAGCACATTCGTATCCTTTCTAGTTGCCCACTTCCACCCAACCTTCCTGCCACCCTAAATTCCTGCAAAAAGGGAGTCCAGTTGTGTCAGAAAATAGCTAATCACACCTTGAAACTGATTCTAAGCATGAGCCTGCTAAGGGAATGAGTACCCTCCAGAAGATTCTAAGAAATACTAGCAAACAGGATTCCTTCCTTCACTATATAGCTGGCCTTCCACATTCACGGGTTCTGCATCAGTGCAGTCAACAAACCAGGAATTGAAATTTTCTTTTTTTTTTAACAAAAAAAGTGGGGCTGGGTATGAAGCTCAGGGGCAGAGTGCTCTCATTGCATACACAAGACCCTGGGTTCAATCCCCAGCTTTACACACACACACACAAAAAGTGTGTACTAAACATATAATCATTTTTCTTGACATTATTCCTGAACAATATAGTGTAACTATTGCCATCGCTATTCTTTTGTTCAGGGGCTACTTTGTAAAGCAGGTAAGCCAACCACAGGCTGACTGGGGCTGGTATTTTTGATCTTCAGTTTGCAAGGCTGATTATTTTCCAGATGGGTCTCATGTTCAGGGAAACAATGGCAGCTCTTACATTGTATTAGGTATTGTAAGTAATCTACAAATATCTAAAGACTGTAGACCTGTGGTGACAAACCTACGGCATGTGTGCTGCACCAGGCTGTTTATCACTGAAAGCTCTAGAAGGTTTGCCATCACTGCTATAGGAGGAAAAGGTAGGCTATGTGTAAATACTACACCATTTTAGATGAGGGATTTGAGAGCCACAGATTTCACTGTCTTCAGAGAGTCCTGGAGCCAATCCCTACAGACACAGAGGGATGACAGCACTCCTTACTGCCTTCCAGAGGTAAGGCTCCTCCTGCTGCCCTAAGCATATCTGAATGGTAGCCTCTGGGTACAATTTCATCCCACTGTGCTGGGCAGATCTAAATTTCTCTCTGGTTGGTTCTGCACATAGCTAAATACAAGCAAGAAACTCATTCACCAACTGCCCAGAAACCTCATCATCCGTATTTCTGAGAGATCCAGTAGAGAAGAGAATGGGTCAGGGAAGGCCGCTGAATTCCATTTGTGAGCCACTTGGCAGGTTATGAAGCTCAGGGGCCAATCCTGCAGTCATTAGCTACTGTTACAAAATCTAGCAATCACTTACTGACTCCAGGAAGTGCAAATGTTAACTGTAGCTCTAACTTTAGTGTCAGGATTAATATTAAACATGGAGATACTTTTTGCCTTTACTACTTGTCTTAGCCAAGCAAATGAGAGTCCCAGAGAAACTGACTACTCTCTAGGCTGTGACAGATTAAAGCAGGATCTCAACTTCTGGAATTTTCATTGATGGGATCATTCCTGGTGAGCTATATTTTAATGTCAGTATTCTGGGAAACAGGTAAATTTGAAGTCAGAGAACACTCTTAGTCACAGACGCAGTGACAATGCAAATATCTAGTGCTGGTGGACGCATCTGTTACTTCTTAGGTGATATAGTGGTCAACAGGTTTCCGTTTCCTGTTACTTCTTAGGTGATACAGTGGTCAACAGGTTTCCATTTCTTTTTTATAAAATAAGCAAATGCTTACTTTATCACTCACACACCAGAAGTTATATAGAAAAAACACTCAAACTGCTTAAAATGCAAATATTCTTTGGTTTACTCATCAAACAGCAAAAAACCAAAAAAATAAAAAACAAAAACCTCATTAGTTAAATAAAAAAGTGGCATTCTTTATTTATCAAATGTTTTAAAACACTGAAATGCATTCATCTTCATGGTCATGTTCTTTAGCAATATCTTTTCTTCCCTTTTGTCTTTCAATCCCCTTAGTTATTTTGGTGGGTTCGTCTCTAAAACAAAGAGTCTTAAATCTTTCTTAATTCTACTTGCTTTTTATTGTGCCCAAATCAGATGAATCTAGATTTTCTCTCTTGTCTCTTACACATGAAACGAGGGTTAACCATGGAGATTTCCTCAGCACATTTTTGGGATGATATCAAAGGTAAGCCCTAACGCAAGCATTTCAAGGCAACGATATGCAAATACAGTTTTGAGAATTTAAGCATCACTGCTGGTACTAAAAAGCAATACTCAGTTTCAGAAGTACATCATTATACTGGACATCTTCATAATGTCTAATATTCATTTCCACAGTTTTGATTTCAGAATAGTTTTCTGAGGTTCAATGTGATTGCCTCAGACATAATTCTTGAATGTCAATAACACAATCTTTAACAAAACAAGGGTAAACTTGAATATAGAACTGTTTCAAAAGGAGCAATAATAGGAAGAGGAAGCTCTTGGCTTTTAAAAAAAGGTACATACACATTGTAAGGAACAAAACAATCAAAATACATAGACTTTATACATAGCAGAAATATCCAACGTGCCACCAATATAACAATTGCCCTTAAAAAAAAGTCATAAAAGTTTGGAGCCATGTGTAACTCTACATTTGCATTCATACCATTCCCATGATCTGCCACCTATTAGGATGCTTTTAACCAGAACTTTTAGCAATATGTTTTTCTTTAAATAAAACAAGCCTCATAAAAGTACTATCATTAATGTCTGACAGTTGAATCGGGCAATGTCTTCCTGAAATATGTGTGATCTTTAAAAAAAATTCTTTTTCCTTCATGAATCAGCAATGTTCCATCTTGAAATAAATCACAGTCATGGTCTTAATTCAGTGGCTCATATGTTCTCTTCATCCAACATTTTGTTGATACCATCACAAAGTTTTTGTAAGTGAGGTTTAAAATTTCCAAAGGGATTATACAAAGCAGCCAAAAATTCACAATTTGCAAAATGATCAAAGACATTATTAACCCGTCCGTGTGACTTGGCAGTGAGGTGACGCTGAATGATCTGGTGAAGCGTTTCTCTGCATTCATTTAACAGCTTGGATAACACATTCCGGTCAAAGGTGTAATCCACCTGATAGAAACTGACCACGGTCATAGCAAGCTGATGAACTTTCTTCTTAAATTTCTCCATCAGAGCGAGCTCCTCCTGATTAAACTGGTTATTCCTATAGAGAATGGCCAACTTGATGACAGTTTTGATGAGGTTTTTGATGATCTTCTCTGCCTCCTTCTTGTTCTGGGTATATTCCTTGGTCACTCTGTAGAGCTCATCTAGTACCTCACTACTTGTGTCATCTATTAAGGTTGTGGCGATGGATTTGGACGCCATTTTACCCAAGATCTTCTTCTGTGCCTGAACGGCCAGGTTTTTGGAATTAAAGACATCTGTGGCCACTGTCCGAGGCAAAGAGAGGGGAGAAGGCAAAAAGATCAGTATCAAGAGAGTCAAATTAAAAACCAAACATTAGGGAGTATTTTCTCATTTTCTCTCTATTTGTGGTCTGCCAGCTCTTTATTGATGTCTCTGTTCATACAAAATATTTAAAACTTTTTCTGTGTTTCTGGAACTATGTTCTCATTTGTGGGAATTAACAGGTTGATGAATAACTCAGATATTTTATACTTTCTGCAATGTAGTCAATACTTTCCTTAGAAATTAAAGTTGATAACTTTCTTAAAGATAAAAATAGTACAACTCATAAGGTAGTTAGATTTTATGAAACTTTTACCTAATTTAACTTTATAAAATTCATTAAAACCACAAAATAGGGGCCGGGGATTTAGCTCAGTGGTTCCACCGCCTGCCTCGCAAGCGCAAGGACCCGAGTTCAATCCCCGGTACCATAAAAAAGAAAAAAAAATGTGTACTAAAACCACAAAATCATCTTTATACCTATACACTGGACAAAAGTAACCCAGAGAAATTTCAAGAAATTCATTTAAATGAAAAGAAAATAAATGATAAAGTCGTGATACTGAGTAAGACGAAAAATTCACAGAAACAAATCAAAAGGAGAGCCTTGTTTTATAATCTAGTTGCAAAAAATCAAACTGCATAAAACACTGGCCAGCACTCACAAGTCCGGCATCCCAACCACCTTGAATTTTAGTTCCTAGAAGTCAAGTTTTAGAAGGACACACTCCTTGGAGAGTCCATTGCCATTTACTGTTTCTGCCCCTTTCAATTGTTAGATACTCTGAGGAAATAGCCACATTTCAACAGCTAATGAAACATGCTACATGAAAAACACACTTTGAAAATGCTAATGCATTTTCAAACTTGACAGATGTTTAAGATACACAAAATAGTTGTACATACAAAATATTGAGATACTGTATGTAATGCTTCTCTATTATAGCCAGTTAGTGAAAATGCTCAAAAAGGTTTATTCCCCAAAGCAAGTTTAGTTTTTCTTCACTACAATTTTCCCCACTCTGAGAAGGTTGCAATCTCAAATCTCCACCTTTATAATTGTGTTTTATTCCCTGTTCTCTTAGGGCCTCAAAATTACATTTCTCAAGGTGTTTACTTGACCTGTGCATGCAGAGACAGTTGCTCTCTTTTTATAATATGCCAGTGAATGAGCTTAGGCTAGAAAGTAATCATTTGGTAATGAAACATAAAAAGCCATAAAAACATAGGTGGGTACACAGGAATGAGTCAGGGCATCAATAATATAGAATTATTTCTAGTTTGGACCATCTAGCATCATTAGGAAGCAAAAAGGTAGCTGCTTCGAAATCCTGGCTAGGACAACATGTAAGAATAACTCCCTTTAATGTGGAGCTGTCATTTAGATGTGAAATTTAGGCAAAGAGCAGCCACATTAGATCTGAAGTGTGGGCTCATGGCAGGTGTACAGAACCAGAGATAGAAATGGTTTCCGATGCCCAGAATGTCATTCACAAACATGAACTGCCATACACATGATGAAAGAATGTCAAGATTGAACTAGAGGGCCAGGGATTTAGCTCAATGGTTCCACTGCATGCCTCACAAGTGCAAGAACCCGAGTTCGATCCCCAGTACCCCCTCCAAAAAAAGATTGAACTAGAAATGGTGCCCTGAAAAATGTCAATATTTAAACTTCTGAAACATAAACTAAAACTGCAGAAGAACTGAAATGTATTTTGAGAAAGAAAAGGAAAGTGAAATTGTGTGAAAAGCAGCCAACTTTATGTAGGTCCCCAGCTTTTTAAAGTTTGTATCAATTAAGCAGTTTATTTTTATTCTTATTTTTTCAATGATTTGCAGAAGAAATCTAATTCACATTAAAGAATGCGTATCAAAAGAAAGGCACTCATGTGCAAGCGCAAGGACCTGAGTTTCATCCCTGGTACCAAAAAACAAAAAAACACAAAAAAACAAGAAAGGCACTCATGTGGTTAATATCACCATAGAAAGACCAAAGACAATCTTTCATCTTATAACTCCAGATACAAATTTCAACAGATAAACCTGACTTATACAGGAAGGCATGCCCAATCATTTCCAGATACACAGCAAAAAACTAGGATTTATGCAATTTATTTTATATAAAGCTGAAAGGTTTTTCTGACTTTAATATTCAGAACATGACACAGTATACAAATATCCCATCCGGGGTTTACAGGAGTGCTTCTCAGATGGACACACGATGCTGTTAAAAAGTGAAGCTAGAGACAGAGGTGCTCATCAGATCCCTCTGGGCCACTTTTCCAAGGCCAGACTTGGAAGTCTATACCACTTCTCAGCTACTTTTCTTATTAAACCTTAATGTCCTGTTTAATTTCAAACATAAAGAGAAACGAACTCCATGGCACAGCACTTTAACTTCCTGCAAGAGGGTAAAAAGGTAAATCTACTGCTGACTAAGCTAGGTCATTCCCTATTTACTGGTAACAAGTCTGAACCAGGACAGGAAAGCTGTTCTCTGAGGTTTTCATGTTTGTGCAAGTAGAGCTTCAAACCCTGTTTAGAGACACAGCACCTACCGCACACTTTCATTTTATCTTTGGATTATTCCAGGGAGTCATTTTTTTAAGTGAGGATGAAGCTCTTTCTCCCCATCTAACAGGAATACATGCATGCAGGGGATTTATTCTCCAGCATTAGCAAAAGCTCTTTTTGAGCCAAGTGGGGGTTGGTGCTGGCCAGGGATATGTGTTCTGTGATTATTTTTTTTCCTTCCTTCCTTCCTTCCTTCCTTCCTTCCTTCCTTCCTTTCTTTTTTTGCAAATTAACTGGTGCTCGCCTCTCCTGCTCAGGTTTATTTGTCAGTTCCACATCCTCCACCAGATCTCTTACAGGAGGCCTGGCATCTCTCAGGCCTGTCTTGGACCAAGATTTTCTCTATTCTTACTCCATGTGCTCTCATACCATGATTTCAGACACCACCCATGTGCCAATGACTCCCACTTCTACAGCTGTAATTCAGCCTCAAGCTCCTTTCCATACTCATTTATCAAAAGCATGGAAGGAATGTCTTCCCTTGTGATTCTGCAACATTACAAACGTGCCGGGTCCAGAAATGAAACCTTGCTCTCTACCTTAAAAGTGCTCCTCTTCCATTCATTTTTTATTAAGTTTATTGCTACATTTGAGGTATAAAATATGCTGACATTCATTATGGGGAATTTGTACCTTTACATTATATATCTTGGTTCTTATTTTTTCCCCATTCCCTTGCCCTCCCTTCAACCCCTCTACCCCTCCCCATTTACAAAGACTTTGTTTCCATTTTTTCCTTTTCTTTTTCTAGTATTTATTCCTTTCCCTTCCCCTACCCCTCCCATTTCCCCTTCCTCTTTGGGCCTTATCTTCCTATTTCACATTATCTATTATACATTTTGATCCTTATTTACACTTTCAGTTTCTCACACCAGAGAAACTATTCTGTATTTACACGTTTGTCCTATTTATTTCACTTAGAGTATGGCCTCAATGTGCATCCATTCAGCTATAAATGTCTCTAATTTCTCATTCTTTATGGCTGAGTAGTACTCCATTTTATTAAAAAAACACATCTTTTTGATGGACAACTGGGCTGTTTCCAAGTTTTATCTATTGCAAACTGTGCCACTATAAACATTGTGCACATATATCAATGTAGTATGATTCTTTTAATTCTTTTAGGAAGATATCCAGCAGTGGAATGGCTGGGTCAAATGGGACCTCTAATCCTAGTTTTTTGAGGTATCTCCATACTGATTTCCACAGTGGTTGCACCAGTCTACACTCCCACCAACAGTGGAGAAGCGTTCCCCTTTCCCCACAACCCAGCCAGCATTTGTTATTGGTTCACTTCTTGATAGCAGCCTGACCAAGTGGGATTCATCCCAGGGATGCAAGGATGGTTCAATATATGCAAGTCAATAAATGTAATACATTATATTAACATAGCCAAGGACAAAAACCATATGATCATCTCAATTAATGCAGAAAAACCATTTGATAAAATCCAACATGCATTCATGATTAAAACAAAAAACCCTACAAAAAATTGGAATAGATGGTCTCTACCTCAACTTGATAAAAACCATCTATGAAAAACCAACAGCCAATATCACACTAAATGGTCAAAAATGGAACTCCTTCACACTAAAATAAGGAACAAGGCATGGATATTCACCATCACCACTCCTGTTCAATATAATTCTGGAAACATTAGCCCCAGTAATTAAACAAGAGAAAGAAATAAAAGGAATAAAGATAGGAAATGAAGAAGTCAAATTGTCATTATTTGCAGATGACATGCTACTCTATATAGAAGACCCCAAGAACTCCACCAAAAGTCTTCTAGACTTAATAACCAAATTCAGTAAAGTAGCTGGATACAAGGTCAACCCACAAAAATCAGTAGCTTTCCTGTGCATGAACAACAGACTCACAGAAAGAGGAATTGGATAAACAACTCCCTTCATAATAGCATCCAAAAAATGAAATATCTAAGAATCAATCTAACAAAAGAAATAAAAGACCTCTACTTTGAAAACTACAGCACTCTAAAAAAAAAGAGATTCAAGAGGATATCAGAAAATGGAAAGACATCCCTTGCCCCTAGGTAGGAAGAACCAATATAGTGAAAATGGCCATACTTCCAAAACTGCTATATAGATTCAATGCAATTCCAATTGAAAGTCCAACAACATACTTCACAGAACTAGAGAAAACAATCCAAAAATTCATTTGGAACAAGAAGAGACCTAGAACAGCAAATTCTAGGCAACAAAGACAAGGTATGGGGTACCACGATCCCCAACTTGAAACTATATAACAAAGCTACTGTGATAAAAACAGCATGCTACTGGCAAAGAAATAAACCCAAGGATCAGTGGAACAGAATGGAAGATGCAGAAACAACTCCAGACACACTCAGCCACCTCATCTCTTTTTTTTGCAATTCTTTTATTGG